TTTTTTTATTTATTTATTTACGATAGTCACAGAGAGAGAGAGAGAGGCAGAGACACAGGCAGAGGGAGAAGCAGGCTCCATGCACCGGGAGCCCGATGTGGGACTCGATCCCGGGTCTCCACTCCAGGATCGCGCCTGGGCCAAAGGCAGGCGCCAAACCGCTGCGCCACCCAGGGATCCCCTCCCTGCTTCTTTTTAAATAACTGAACCCCTGAATTTAGCTGGGTTCGTGGGTACCCAGCAAAAACGCTACTCCCCTGCTGCCAGGTGTGGCCCTGCAAGTTAGTTCTGGTCTACAGGATATCATCTGAAGTGACGCATGCAATTTCCAGGTCATCCCCTTAAAGAACTGTGCCCTCTTCTTCTTCCCTGTTCTGCTGGTGGGGATGTGGAGGTGATGACTGGAGATGGACAGTCACCTTGTGCCCTGACACAGGTGGCAGGTCAAGACAGAAAGAGCCTGACTCCAGGGCTGGACTCCTCATCCAGATTCTCACATCGGAGAAAAGCACACTTTCTTTTTTTTAAGCTGCTGTTATGGCAGCTGAATCTGGACTACAGCTAGTATGAGGAGTCTGGGGGCAGGATCTTGGGGAAGGCCAGTGGGGAAAGCAACCAGGGTCCTGCCTGTCCTCTCCTTGTGGATGGGAGGAGGGTGTGAGGGACAGCAGGCAGGGCCATCTCTGCCCTTCCTGCCACTCACTCAGCTCATTCTCGATCTCCACGGTCAGGTTGTTAGCATCCACGATGACTCGGTATTCAGGGGCCGCCTCAACAGGTCCCATCACTGTGAAGATGAAAAGCAGCCTTGGTGGGTGTCTAGGCTCCCACAGCCAGGGGAGTCAGGAGGTGTAGTTGGAAGGGAGCTGGGAGGCTAAGAAGAAAACCTGAAGGTGGGTTTCCACGCTGGCACACCTCCCATTTCTCTCCCTCCAGGCCAGTCTAGACACTACGGTATGTCGCCCTGGAACTAACCCCTTAGGGGATCCCCACACCACTGAGGCCGAGGTGCAAGCTCCCCAGACGGGAAACACTGTGAGGACAAGTTCTGCGCCCCCCAGTGCCCAGATGCCCACAACAGTGCCTGGCGCACGGGCATTGCTCTGTAGGTACCTGCTGACTCTCCAACTCCACAGTCTGGCCTTTGCACCGTCCAAGCCCCACTCTTTCAAGACACCACCATCTTATCACACACCAGCCAGGAAGGACTGACTGCAGTGCCCGAGCACTCAGGGCTGCTTCCTCTCCTCTGGGCCTCTGCATATGCTGTTCCCCCTCCCTGGCATGGCCCTTCCTCACATCTGTTTCCAAAAGGTTCCTCTCCAGGTTTTAACAATGATGACAGTGAGAACATGGTCACAGGCCGTAGGTGCAGTGGCCAACACACATGGGACTTACCACGTAAGTGCCACTACTCTATGTGCCTTACAGGTATTAACCTGTTTTACCACTATCACCTGGGGAGGCGGGCATCACATCAGACCATTGAGGCAGAGAGAGAGAAATGGAGGGATGTGGCCTAAAGCCATGGACCCAGCAGATGGCAGACCTGAGATCTAGCCCCAGCACCTGCATTCTTAACCCTGATCACTCAAATGTTTCTGCATCTTGAGACTCAGACAGCACCTCAGGATCCTTCCCTCCCCCTTCAGGAGGGTCAGATGTCTCCTCTGTGCTCCTGCGGAACTCCTGCCACATCCGTTAGACATAACCGTCACCCAGGTTGGAGGTGTTCTGTGTTCACCAAATCCACCAAACACCAGGTGAGATCAGGTCTGACCTAACCCCGAGCCTGACCCGACATCAGGGAGTGACCCTTCTACCGCTCCCCACAGCTTGCTGGCCTGGTGCTCAAAATCCTGCAGGATCTGGCACTTTCTCCTGCTGCCTCTGCCACTCCAGACATGTGAGGCTTTGCACACACAGTTCTCTTTCTCAGGGCATATAGCTGCTGTTCTTGGCCTGGTATGTGTATTCATGCTTCAAAGCCAATTTCAGGTATGGCCTGAGGCAGGGTCAGCCCCACTCTGGTGGCTCCAATGCCCCCAGCTATCCCCACCCCAGCAGGCACCACCCACAACCACTGCCCAGACCTGACCTATCCGCTTTGCCAGACACCAAGTATCCTGAGAGCAGAGAGCTGGGTGGGTTCCCCATGCAGGCTTGCCACGGGGCACCTCATGAAAACTTTACAAGAAGGAAGGAAAGAGTAGGTCTGCCTGCAACTCTGCTCTGCCCACACCACTGCTGCACTGACAACCTCCCATGGCTGCCTCTGCCAATGAATTCCATTCCGGAACTCCAAACTGTTAAGAAGAATGGGTGGCAACAGGAGAAGCCTCTCAGAGCTGGGTTGAGTATTCAGAGGCAATGTAGCATGCCCCAAAGCTGATGATCTGAAAACTGTGTGTTTTAGAATTACTCTCTACTTACCAAGTGATACCAGTTTTCTACTCGCAGTAGCAATAACTTTCCTTTTTAGGTAAATTCAAAGAAAAGAGTACACTGATTTGAAAAAAAAAAATTAAGTAAAAAACAAAACAAGTGTTCACAGATGTGGCAAGACCCTCGAGCAGTCACATGAATCCCTGAAGCTGGAGGAATCCTGAGGCAAGTGCTACTGCAGTTAGTAAGTGCTCAGCACAGAGCAAGGACTTAAGGAACATCAGCTTTATGATGTGATGTGTTCTCAGGGGAGAAGAGACTGGGTTGGGATGGAAAAGAAAAAGAGGGCTCTCACAAAGGCTGAGAGGCAGGCAGAACAAACTTTCAAAGCTGTACGCAGCAAAGGAGCCCAGGGACACAGCTGGGTGGGTGAGGGGGAGGGGAGAGGTACCTTCCGAGGCCTTGGCCTGCTTGCTGATATACTCCTCAATCTTCATCATGATCTCAGCAAACTGTTCAGGGAGGACAGAGAGCCAGAACTCAGGACTCTCAGAAAGAAGAGCAACTGCACACATCAGCCCTCCCGACAGCTTCTCTCTACAGCCTGCTCACCATCTTGCTGTCCCACAGCTTGGCGATACTCTTGACTGAATCCCCAGAAAGATCCAGCTGTGTCTCCTCCTGCACATCCTCGATTGCTGGCTCCTCTTCTTCCTCCCCATAGCTTCCTCCTTCTTCCTCCTCTGCCGCCTCCTCAAGGTCGGCCAGAAGCTCATCTGCCAGAGACATGCCGAGGCCTATGGGAAGGGAAAGCAGCATCCCCTCTCATTAATGAGAGGGGCTTGGCCTGGTCCTTCACGGGTCAGCCCCACAAGCATGCAGGCTCCGTAAGCACGGGTATTTTCTTTTGCTTTGTTCTTTGGCACCTAATTGTGCCTGGCACCTAATAGATGCTCATTAAGCACCCACTGAATCACTTTGTGAACAAACTTCCCAGAACTAGGTGATCTCTGGTCACAGCTCACACCACCTTCCCTTCTCACACTTACTTCACTGGAAAAGACACAGCATGCCCCTCACACAACCACTTTAAAAGACTTGAAGACTTTAAAAACCTCCCCTTGATGAGATGGGACCTCTCTTCTGACCATTTTTCTCCCATACAGAGACCCCTCCTCAAAATTGTTGGGTGACAGATATCCTAAAATACCAATCTCCCCAGCCATCATGGCGACCATGTGGGGCCTCAAGTGTCTGGAGCCCCCAGGCTAATCCCCTCTGGCCATGAGCGCAGTCTCCTCATCTACTCCAGGTGTTGGACAAAACGAGTATTTTCTTTGAGTCCCATGATGCGGAAAAGAGCAGGAAGCACGACTCAGCAAGGCACAATCCCGCCACCATCCTCCCGCTGCTTTTACTTCTTTAAAGTGAGAAACCTCTCCTCCTTCCTGTGCTTTCACTGTTCCAGAGAACAAATCCCTCATTCCCTTCCCTTCGACACCATGCCCCCCTGAAACATAAAACCAGAGGCTTAGCGGGTGATTTGTGGAGTGAAGCCCCCCGCGCGGTGACAGGGGTGCAGAGAGCTCGGGGGCAGTGTAAACGTGCAGCCCACGAGCAGCTGCACATGAGCCTTGCAAGTGGGACTGTTGGTTGCATGGCGCCAGGTTTTCTCAAGAGATTCAGGACTTTTATGTAAAATCTCTCAGTTTCAAAGTTTCCTTGTGATTATTCAAGGGGATGATTTAACTAAAACTAAAGAAAGCCTCGCCAAACCAGCACAGCACAGGTAGAGTCCGACAGGCTACAGGCCAGGTCTGGCCCTCGAGGTGGCAGTTTGGGACCTCTGGGTGTCCAGCTGTCTGTCTGAGGTCAGTTTCCCCTCACGCCCTCCTCTCTCCCTCGGACGGGACATCCCCTTTATACTTAGTCACCTCTCTCTCTTCACAAGACACAGCATTCCTGCGTGGTCTCGTACGTGCCTCTCTCATTCACTTTCTCTGCAGAAAAGCTCTCTTCCCACAGAACACACCTTGCTCCCCATACGCAGGACGTGGGTATCTGTGCACATCCTCTCCCGTTTCCCCACTTGACGGTAGGCAGACCCGGGCACCACATCTGTTCCCAGCTACACCAGGAGGCCGCCCACTCCCGTCCCGGCCCGACCCCTGCTCAGCCCCCGGGTCTCCTCCCGTCACCCCGGGAGCCCCGCGCGTCCCAGACTCTCTAGCGACCTAAGCCCGTCTCCTCAGGAACCAGCACAGCACAGACACGGCAGGAACAGGGTCTGCTCCCGCTACACCGCCAGAGCGCGGACGCCGCAGAGGCATGGAGGACCTTCGCGCCACCCCTCCAGTAAGGTGTGTCTCTCTCCCTGCACACTCCCGCCCCCGGACCCGAGAGCCCGGCCTCCCCACTCCCCTCGTCTCCCTTACACTCACTTCTCCCCGCCTCGCACGACGGTTTCTAGGAGAGTCGCTTCCGAACAGTGGTAGGCGCCCACTGATGACGTCCCAGGCTCGCGACGGCGTCGCGTCAAACCCGCGCTCTGATTGGCTCCCGCCCTCGCGTCATTCCCGGACGCCTTTGGAACAACAACTTTATTAGTTCCTGCAGCGAAGCGGAGAGGGGGTAAGCAGAGGAGAAGGGACTTGTCGGGCTGACGGCCCGCCGAGTACTGAGCCTGCTAAGCGGAGCATCGCCCTAGCCAGTGAGAAGGTGCCCAGACAAGAATAAAGACGGGGACAACTAAGACGACCGAGGAAGGAGTGAGACGAGAAAGCAAGGCCTTTAAGCAGGACGGAACTCCGGGTGGAGGTGAAGGTGGAGGGGGGTAGGGAGCGAAGCCGGAAGCAGGGAACTACAATTCCCAGAAAGCCCAGCGGCAAAGACCCGGATGCCGAGGCCGTGAAGCCCGATGGGACAGGTAGTTTTGCGAAGGACTTAACCTAGAGGTTTGCGAGGCTGGGCGTTCTGAGACCCGCGGCGGCTGGAGCTGGAGAGAGACATGGAATTGGAGCAGAGAGAGGGGTGAGTGGCTTTGGAGGAAACTACCGCTCCCAAAAGGCATTGCGGCTGCATCGCGTACACCCATCTGCGCTTTTATTTGAGGGCGGATGGGGATTGTAGTTCATGCAGCTGCTTTCGCTGAGCCCTCTTAAGGACCGGGGTCTGCGCTTGGACGTTCAGGGGGAAAAAGCTAGAAGTTGGAGTTCTGAATCTGAGAGACAGACGAGGTTGGAGGCCCCGGCTCCTGGGTCTGAGTGGGGGCTTGAAGTCCCAGCGATCCTCGGGGAGCAAGTCTGGGGGTATGGACACCTGGATCCTGGGAGGAGGGGTCGGGGCTCGAACTCTAGTGGGACTCCCGGGTCTGAGGGAGGAGGGGCTGGGGGTCTGGACTTCCGGGTCTGAGGGAGGAGAGGCTGGGGCCGGTGGTTCAGGATTCCTGAACCTACTGACCTTACAGGACCATGGCAGCTGTGGGCTTTGAAGAGTTCTCGGCGCCGCCAGGCTCGGAGCTGGCGCTGCCGCCGCTGTTCGGTGGTCACATTTTGGAGAGTGAGCTGGAGACGGAAGTGGAGTTCGTGTCCGGGGGTCTGGGTGGCTCAGGGCTCCGGGAGCGAGATGAAGAGGAAGAGGCTGCCCGGGGCCAGCGGCGGCGCCAGCGGGAACTAAATCGTAGGAAGTACCAGGTGCTAGGTCGGCGCTGCCGGGAGATCGAGCAGGTAGGTGAGTGCGGATTCCCCCGTTCTGGGGTCCCCTGGCCTAAATTACCCCTTCTCTGTCCACATGCCTGCCTTCCTTACCTGGCTGAGTGAATCGTTCAGTGGTTCTGTACCTATTGTGTATCAGGCACCATACAAGGCACTGGGAGAGCCCTGTGCTCTGAGCATCCCTGGTGACCCAGCTCAGCTCACTGATGTTTGTAGGTGCCTCTCATGTTCCCCGCTGATCAGACTTTTCAAGTCTCCTGTACCCTTCTCATCAGGTCCTCCTGTCCTGTTGGATCCTTCCCCTGCCCCCATCCCCATGGCTTCTGCCCCAGACACAGGTTCTCAGCTGCATCACTGCATCAGCTCCTCGGTGAGAATGAGGAGCATGCGGTTGGCCTGGACCAGATCTTGAAAAGCCGGGAACACCGGGGCATGAAGTTTGGCATTTGTTTTAACATTTAAGTGAGGGGGAAGGGACAGGGTCAGGTCTAGGTGTTTGAAAGCCTAAGCATGGTCGTGTTAGTCTTAGTGCCACGAACGGGGCGCTAAATAACAGAAGTGTACTGTCATGGCTCTGAGGCTGCCAGTGCAAGATCAGGGTGTTAGTCCACAGTTGGTTCCTTCTGAAGGCGGTGAGGAATCTACCACGTGCCTCTCTCTTTGCATCTGGTGCTTGCTGGCACCTGACTGGTAGGTCTCTGCCGTCACCCACATGGCGATCTCCCGGGGGGGGTGTCCCTGTCTTTGCCCTGCTTTTCTCCTTGTATGAGGACATGGTCATGTTGGGTCAGGTGCTACCGACCTCGTTTCACTTGATCATCTCTGTGAAGACCCCATCTCCAAAGAAGTTCACATTCTGAAGTACTTTTTTGGGGGGACACCATCCGACCCCTAATGGCGGTGTTGGGGAGCTGGGGAAGAAGGGAGGCTGGGTAGTAGCCTGGGCAGGAGAGGATGCAGTCTGCACTGGAGCAGGGGTCAGGAGACAGAGCAGGTGGAGAACCAGGGCGGACGTTGAAGCCCTCTTAGGATGAGCTCATCAGACTGCCTGAAGCCGAATAGACACTTGTTTTGACAGGAGATGTTGGGGAGAACCGCATGGGAAGTGAGGGCAGTGGGAGTGCTTGGAGCAGGTCAGCCCCAGAAGCTGCTCTGAAGCTGAGTCTACGTGCACCTGGGAACAGCTAGGATGATCCAGGATGCTATCTGCGATACGGTTTTATGTGTGTTCACATGTGTTGGTGTAAAATAGTGTGGAGACAAATCAGATGTGATATCCACAGATACTATACATCTTGTACTAGGCAGTTGTTGGCCCCACCCCGACCTCCCTCCTACCTTTTCTCTCCTGGAGACTCCTCACCTGAATCCCATGGTAGCCATAACATTTCATCCCTGGCATTCTGTGTTCACAGGGCTTCTCAGTACATGGGTGCTGACGTCAGAGCGACCACTGTGACATGGGAGCACCCACCGTGTTCCAGGCCTGCCCTAGGCTTTACAAAACACGACATCTCAGGATGCCCTACTACCTCTACCTACCCCCCCACCCCCAGCTCCCCCGACTTGCAGCAGGGACCCCAAGCCCTGTTTAGCATACAAATACCAGGTCCAGAGGGACTCAAGCATTTGCTCAAATGTATCTGGCATTTGATTTTCTGCTCTTAATCTGCCCCATTAGAACAGGTAGCGTTATTCAAGACAGGTGGTGAAATGCAAGTCTAAGATAGGTTAGGTAACTTGCCCAAGGTCACACAGCTGAGAGTGGCAGGCTGGGGTTTGAACCCAGGTCTTTCCGATCCAGGGAAGTACCTGCTCGTTCGTGTCTCAGCCCACATGCCTCTCTGATAGCCCTGAAGTTAGGCCACCTCCTCCTCATCTCCAGCATGTGAACCCGCTTGCTGTCCCCACTGTACATAGCAGGAAGGCATGCATTTAGCAAATAGTGATGGAGCCCCCTGCCCCCTACAGGGTTCTGCTTAGGGAGTGGGGACACAGGCACAACCCGTCCTTTGGAGCTTATGGTCTGGTGGGAGAGGGTGAGCAAGAGAAGTGGATAGGCTAGAAGGCGGCAAGGAACATTTTAACGAAAGCCAAAGCAGAGGAGTAGCTGGGTGCACAGTTCTGGTAGGGGGAGTGAAGAGGGGGTATTGCTGTGTGGTGGGAGGTCTGGGTGGACTCCCTGAGGAGGTAACCTCTGAGGTCAGGCTTGAGGGAGGGAGCTCCTCTGGCATGTGGGAAGGCCCCCAGGACAGGAGGCAGACAGCTAGGGAGGCACAGATGCAGGAAAGGAGTGGGTGCAGCAGCCCCAGAGGCCATGGGGAGTGTGGCCGGCTCCCTGAGGGCCCTGGGCCCCCGCTGGCGCTACATTCATCCCACATGGAATAAGGAGCAGAGTCCAGGTGACCTGTGCCTTCTGGCTCCCTGCAGGTGAATGAGCGGGTCCTGAACAGACTCCATCAGGTGCAAAGGATAACACGGAGACTGCAGCAGGAGCGGAGGTAAGCCCCTGCATGCTCCCCTCCCTGGGCCCCGGGCCTCTGCTCCCAGCTGCTGTTTCTACCACCTCTGGCGATTCTTGCCTCCTTCGTGTCTGTGAAGGCCTCACCGGATGGGCTGAGGGAGGCTTGGGTGGCAGGTGCACTCCTTTTGAATGGGAGGTCCAGCAGAACAGGATCATGATGTAGAGTCACACACTTGGTTTCAAGCAGTTTTGCTGTGTGATGCTCAGCAAGCCACATACCTCTCTGAGTCTGTTTCCCGTCTCGGTTGAGATTGGGTAACGCCAAAATCTCAGTAGCTGCTGAGTACTGAAGAGGAGTTCATGGGCTGTGCCCAGAGCCTCCGGCCACGTGCTATGTCCCAATGTCTGTGACCTGTACTCTGAGAAGGCGCCAGGATGCTGAGCCCTGGTCAGTCCTCAGCCATGCACTCACCTGACCCGCAGGATGCGCCCACCTGGAAGCAGGTCCCTCACTCACCTGGACTCCCCCACTCCCTGGCCCCAGTACCTTGGCCCTGGGTGCCCTTGCATCTACACCACCACTGTCCAGCATGGTAGCCACAGGTGCTGACCTAATCTGACAGTTTATTAAAACTAAAATTTAACATTAGTCAAAATAAATTTTAATTGATTGACACAAAATAGAAAATTCAGTTCCTTCAGTTGCACTGGCCTCCATTCACATGCTCAGCCACTACCAGTGGTGATTTTTACCCAAACTAAAATGAAATGAAATGAAATGCTCCCTCAGTGGTGCTCCTGCACTGCAGCTCAGTAGCACAGGTCACAACTGACATCAAAACTGAAATAAATGACCTCAAAAAGTTCCTTCGTTACTGTCACCACACGGCGACAGGTGGCCAGCAGCTCTGTGGTGCATGGCACAGGTACAGGCCGTTCCTGTCCTCACAGAAGGTTCTGTGTGCACTTCTAGAACATCTCACAGCATCGTGGTCGGAAAGGACATCTAAACACCGCCAACCTTTCAGTCCTGTCTGCAGCTCTTTCAGCTGTGTATCCCCTCTGTGGACCGTCTGCTGGACAGTGGCTTCTGGTCACCTCACACACATGCAGAGCTAGCCCTGACCTCGCCCCTACCCCCCGTGTGCTCCCCCTCAGGCTGCTTCGTGTCGGGGAATGAACCCTCCCATTGGCTTATCTCCCACCTCCTGGTCTGACGTGCCCTCAGAACAGACCCTGGGTGTCAGCACCCTGAGCCACAGGCCATGGCTCCTTGCCCATGCCTGACACACTCTCCCTGGCCTCCCCTCACCTCTCGCAGGGCTCCTGTCACAACACCTTGGGTGAACCTTTTTTTCTCTAGTTGTACCATCCGCCAAGACTCTTTTACAGTAAAACCAAGAGAGTTTATGAAAGGGGAGGGTGGCCTTGATGGCTATAAGGTCAAAAGTCTGGGAATGGGATCTACAAATGCTACACTTGCCTTAACAGTACAGATCAGTCAGGGTGATCACCTTCTCTAAGCTGCCTCTCTTGAATGCTGCTCAACCCCGAGCTTTTCAGTGTGCAGCCCTTGGACCAGGAGCCCCAATGCCACATGGGAACTTGCCACAAACCCAGGTTCCAAGGCCTCACTCACCCAGACCTATGGTATCAGAGATTCAGGGACTGTCCACTTATAAAACCTAAGACAGGCCACTGTGTAAAAATAGTATGGCAATTCCCCAAAATTTAAAAACAGAATTATTATATGGTCTAGCAACTCCATTCCTAGGTATACCCCCCCACCCAAAAAAAAAGATTCAAACATAGGGCTGCTGACCGATATGCATACACACGGGATCCTAACAGTATTCACAGCAGCCAAAATGTGGAAGCATTTTGTGGATAGACGAATGAACGGAACATGGTCCACACGTAGGATTATCATTTAGTCTTAAAAAGGAAGGAAATCCTGACCCACATTACACATGAACTATGAATACGTTATTTGAGCTGGTCCCAGGAGGACAAATACTCTGTGATTCCACTAATATAAGGACTTAAGTTCATAGACCTGGAGAGTGGTGACTGCTAGGGGGATGGGAGTTAGTTAATGGGACAGTTTTACTTTGGGAAAATGAAGAGTCCTGGAGACCAACGGGAGTGATGGTTGCACAACACTGAATGTGCTTCATGCCCCTGAGCTGTACTGGTTAACTTAAAACTGGTTAAATTGGCAAACTATGTTATGTGTATCTTACCATAAATTTTTAAAAATTCTCTTTCAAAAGTAAAAAAAAAAAAGAAAGAAAGAAAACCAACATAAGAGGTAAGACTGACCAAGTCACCTCTCAGAGCAAGATCATCCTACAGTAGCCAACAAGGGTACTTCGAGGGCCTTTCACCTTGCTCTACCAAGAACACGGCACGCATGCTGCTCCCACCTCAGGGCTTTTGCACTTGCTGTTCCTTCTGCCAGAAGTGTTTTTCTGCCACTCCCTCACCTTCTCAGTGAGGCCTTCCCCACCGACTTTCAGAGGTTTCAGCCCTCTTCCAGGTATCATGCATCCTCCTTCCTACTACTGTTTGGCTGATTTGCTGATTGTCCCAAGTTCGGTGCAGACGGGTTTTTGTTTGGTTCCCCGATGTATCACTAGCACCAAGACACGGTACAGAACAGGTATGGACGCATACCTGGAAAGAGACTGTAGGTAAAGCGCTCCACCCAGGTGCTTGCCCCCAGATAGCATTCAGAGCTCTGGGAAGCAGGAACCGGGGAAGCAGAGGAAGGTCATGTCAGCAGGAGGGCTCTTTGTCTTGCCCTTCAGTTACTAATAAAGATAGCTGACACCAGAACATGGGCTGAGCACAGCAGATGGCACTCTCCAGCTGCAGTGTCACCCTCAGGTGGCCCGCCCACTCAGGGCTGTCGTGTCCTGTCAACAGAGCGGGAAGCAGGTGCAGAGAAGTCCCCTGGTCTGGCCCAGCGTCCCCTGCTGCTCAACTACTTGGCAACCAGGTCTCAGATTTGGCAGCTCTGAATCTTCTGGGTTTATGGGTCTGGGACAGCCTTGGCTTCTGAGCTGGGGCGGGGCTATCGGGCGCCCCTTTCTCCAACCACCAGATACTGAGGTTGTGCCTCCCCAATGGCCTCTCTCCGGACGCAGGTTCCTCATGAGAGTGCTGGATGCTTATGGCGATGACTACCGTGCCAGCCAGCTCACCATAGTCCTGGAGGTGAGCATGGCCTCCTGGCAGGCAGGGGGGTGGGTGTGGGGGGACAGGGCACCAGGACACAGCCTTCACCTGCCACCCCTTCTCCCCACCAGGACGAGGGCAGCCAGGGCACAGATGCTCCCACCCCTGGCAATGCTGAGAATGAGCCCCCAGAGAAAGAGGGGCTGTCCCCACCCCGAAGGACACCCGCACCTCCAGAACCCAGCAGCCCAACCCCCGGGGAGGGGCCCAGTGGACGCAAGAGGCGGCGAGCACCCCGGGACGGACGCCGAGCGGGAGCTGTGCTGACTCCAGAACTAGCCCCGGTACAGGTGGGACCAGGGCCTTGGGTTTTGCAGCAGTGCTGTGGGAGCTGGGCCTTGCAGAGCACTCGAGCTCAGGGCAGGCTCAGGACAAGCTCAGGGCAAGGGACAACTGGAGAAAGGAGGTGGGGCTGGGAGGGATGCGGGTGGGCAGGGAAGAATAAAGAGCTGGAAGAAGCCAGGTGAGGGCTTGGATGGAAAAGGAAGGAGAGCGATCTGGAGGAAGCTGGGGGTGGGTGGGTAGCAGGAGGGTCAGAGAACATGGGTGGAAGGGAAGGTGGGACCATTGGGATTTCTCCCAGGTACACAGAGGAAGTTGAGGAGGTTGAATGGTGAAGCTGCTGGGCCTTCTCGAGATTCTAGGCCTGCTTACGCTGGCTCCTTCTCTCCCCCAGATTAAGGTGGAGGAAGACTTTGGCTTCGAAGCAGATGAGGCCCTGGACTCCAGTTGGGTTTCTCGGGGGCCAGACAAACTGCTGCCCTACCCCACCCTAGCCAGTCCCCCCTTTGACTGACCCCCCACCCCCACCCCCAATAAACTCACCCGCAGACTCGCCTTGGCCACTGTTTCCACCTCTGATCACACTCAAGCTCAGATTCTGGGGTCACTCTATGCATTTTATTGACTACAGGGAAGGGGCCACCTCCATATCACCAGAGGTGCTCACAATTTCTTCAGCCACTCCAGGCTGGGGCCCTGGGGGTCCTGGGGGTGGCTGGGCACGTCAGGCATGTTCCCATCATCTCGGAGGGGCACTGTGGGGCAGGAGGGTGGGCCATTGAGACCAGCAGGTCTTGGGAGGCCCATAAAGGCTAGTCTGTCAGTTTGGACTCAAAGAGAGAAATGGGACCCCAGGGGAGAGGTGAGAGAGGGGATGCAGAGAGAAGCAGGGAGATAGAGACCTGGAGGTACAGAAAAGCAGAGAAACAGAAACAGGACAGACACCTAGAATGACAAAAGTCCAGAAAGGAATACAAATCTGGAATGACAACAGAAACTCAAAAGTGCAAAAACAGACAGGAAATTATTTTTATGGCACATGAATCAGACCTCAGAAAAAAGAAAGTCCAGTCCACACAGCAGGTTCTCAGATCCCTGCTGAGGAAGAACCTACCCATGATTATTCCTCCCCCAGCGCAGGAAGGTCCCTCCTCACCCTCCACCCCTGTTTTGGGTCAGCCCTCCAGCTCCCACTCACCTGGATAGTTGTAGGGTGTGGCCTGGTTGATCATGGTGGCATATTTGGTGAAGGGACTGAAGATGGGCAGAATCACAGCTGTGGAGAGACGGGTGAGGCCCAGGGGAAGGTGGCTTTCAGGACAGGGGAGGGGCAGAAGCTGAACCTCAGCAAACTAGGAGTCAGGTACTTGGGAGGAGGGGTGTGGGGAGGTCCTGCCCCTCCAGGAGACCCCATGGCATTCTGAGATCCCCACTTATCAGTGGATGGAGCAGGAATGGGACCTAGAGGGCACAGAGGAGGGAAGACATGGGGGTGGTCACAGAATGAGGGCATGAGTGTAGAGGTGGTCAGGGAGCACAAGGTAGTGGGTGAGAGGAATGGTTTGGGGATCTTCCAGTGGAATCATGAACTGTTACAAACCGAGGAAAGGAAGGGTTGTCTCAGAAATCACAGTCCACCTAGGGTGGGCACCAGGAGTCCCAGGGAGTAGGGCAGGGGTGGGGGGTAAAAAGAATGTTCTAGGCCAGCACTGTCCAGCAGAAACATAAGAGCCACATATTTAGTTTCACACCTTCTAACAGGCACATAAAAATAAAAGGTACAAATGAGTTTTTAAAAATGACTTAACCTGGCATATTGGAAACATCATTTCAACACCCCATCAACATGAAAGCAGCAGAGATATTTTATATACTTGTCATTTGCTTTGCAATCCAGTGTGTACTTTACACAGAGCCTACCCAGCTCAATTCACAGTGGTTCAGTTTCAGGCGCTCGGGCCGGTGTGGCCTGTGGCTGCCATGGGGGACAACTGCTCTAGAACCTCAGCGGGCTGCGGGCGGCCTGCAGACCAGCAGCGCTGACAGGACCTGGGACCTGGGGGAGATGCCGCATTCGCTGCGCATCCCTGACCTATGCCGAGAGCCTGCCCTTGAACAAGACCTCCCGCACGTTAAAGTCTGAGCAGCCCTGCTCTAGAACAGAAGCTGTCAGTCAAGGCAGCCCGGAAGAGGCTTTTCACCGGAGATTCCCCAGCCCCACCTCCACCCCACCCCTCTCCAAGCTTAGTGTGGGGCGGGGGGGTGGGGGGCAAGGTGAGGAGTGGTAGGATTCTGACCGTGTTTTTAATGCACAGCCAGGGCTGAGGACCTCGCCCTGAGGGTGGGGTGGGGGAGGGTCATGGACCTCCGAGGTAGGTGTGTACAGGGTGGTCCTAATAGTGGGGGTGGGGCGGGGTGCAGACACACGAGGGGCCCTGGAACGTTGAGGGTACAGGGCAGAGCGCTGTGGGGAGCGACGGGACCTTGGGTGAGGGCGCTGCACGCTCACGCACCGAGGCCCCCGATGGTGAAGGACGCGACCAGCACCGGCTCTTTGGCCCAGGCATCCTTGAGGAAGGCGGCGAGTCCTGGAGGGGAGGGCGAGGAGGGTCATTCCTGCAGGGGACGCCTCCGGTGACCTCTAACCCTCTCGCGCCACCCCCGCCCCGGAGGAGCCCTCTCGTGATCTCGGCGCCCCCCTGTGGCCCTGCCCCCACCGCCTGCACGGAGGCTCCGCCGTGCCCCAGCGCCGGCACCACCGGGGCTCCGGGAACCAGCGGACCCAGCGCGCCACGGGCGCCCTTACTTACTCCCGGCCATCTTGGTCTCGGCGGCGGCGGCGGCGGCGGCAGCAAGCGGCCGGAGCACTCTGGGAGTTGTGGTTCCCGCGCCCGAGCTCCGCAATCTGAGTGTGCGCATGCGCACTGGCACAGAACTGCGGCCCGGGGCTGTGGCGAGGACGCGAAGCGCTCTGGGAGTTGTGGTCCCCGCGCTCGAGCCCCCGCAGCCTGAGTCCGCACGCGCGCACTGGAACAGGACAGCTGTCAGAATCCGCGGCAAAGCAAGCAGGCGGCACTGCAGATTTAAGTGCAAATCTGTCTCCGCCTAGGAGTCGTGCCTGAGGAGTACTCCCAGTTCTGCAGCTGCGACTCATCCGAGGCGGAATGCAATAGTCCTCATTTTAGAGTTGACTCATGAAAGCCCATTTCACGGATGAAGAAGCGGAGGCTGGGAGAGGACAGATAACTTAGCTATCATTTGAGGTAGCAGCTCAAAATCAGTTCATCCTGGAAGCTTTAAGTCTCATCCCAGGAGGGTTAGGGGCCTTCTGTGGACTCTCTCAGTGCCACATGTGACTTTTTTTTTTTTTTAAACTCACCTGGTCTGCCTCTGTTTTTACATCAGACTGGGAGCTTCTCTAGGGCAGTAATGGGGTCTGATCCCTCTCTGTCCCCAGAATAGCGCAGCACAGGGTCTGGCACATCATAGGTGCTAGTTTTAGCCTTTTTTTTTTTTTAAGTTTAATTAGTGAACACAACTGGTTATGACTGCCCCATCTCCCAGGCTTTTCCACAGCACCATGGGGCTGTGACACAGTCACCCAGAGGCCCCCACTTCCCTCCTCCCTTCCTTAAACAGAGCTCTGGCTTTCTGGTATTGCAGTTCCTGAGAAGTGAGAGGGCACCGCTGAGCCCTGGCTCCTGCTTCTGCTCCAGCCAAGATCTGCCCACCATGGCTCTGGCGCTGATCCTCGAGCTGCTGATCCTCTGTGAGCCACCCCTCCCCCTTCTCCCTGGGTCCCAGGCTGGCTTGGGTGCAGAGAGACAGGCTCTGGGGACCTGGACACTCTGAGCAGGGAGAGGGAACGGAAGAGGGCTACTGAGTCCCTCTGAGGGTAGGTGCGGGATGGTCAGACAGCACTAGCTGAGGGTTCAGAATTCTAGACCCAGAATAAGGGGACAGGACCCAGATCCTTGGTTCCTAACACAGGAGAACACAGAGGTCTTGAATTCCTTCCTAAGGACTGAACTCCTGGGAATGACAAATGTAGAATCCTAGACTCTGATGTGGGAAGAAGAGGAAGCCAGAAGACCTGGGTCTCTGGGAAAGAAGGGAGCTGGGGACCCAGACTCCTGGACCCCAGGGAGGAGACAGTGTGGGCTCAGATTACTGTCTCCTGGAAAAGGTGGAGTCCAGGGGTCTGGACACTGGGTGTAGAGGCAAGAGGGGGCTGGGGCCGGACTTCAGACTAATGAAGTAGGCAGGGGTTAAGAGCCTGCAGTTCTGGCTACTGAAAGAGGACATATGGGTAAGATTCCTGTTTCCCAGAGGAAGATTTAGATTCCTGGGTTTGCAGTGAGGTGGAGCTGGGAGAAGCCTAGAACTTTGAAAAGACTTAGCCCCTCCGTGATCTACAGGGCCTCTGTGTCATTCAGACATCACTCCAACTGGTGAGTAATATCCCCCAGCCATTCAGCTGTAAGCCACTGACAGCCCATTTCCAACTACTCAGATTTTATTTTGGTGCCCAAGCTCACCCCAGATTTCCAGATTTCCCTCCCTCCCGCTCCTCTCTTCTTACATCTTTTCCTTCCCTTTCTCCCTCCTTTCTTTCCTTCTCATCTTACTCCCTTTAGCGATCAGGATAGGTGAGTAGTAAAGACCATGAACTTTGGAACTAAAGATCTCTAAGCTAGAACCCCACTTTCACCATATTATTCACTTGCAACTTTGAACAAAGCACCACTTGCTACTCAGTTTCCTTCTCTATGAAATAGGCTATTGTGAGGATTTAATGAAATCACCCATGTATACCGGGAGCCTGGCTAGCTCAGTCCATAGAGCGTGGGACTCTTGATCTTGGGGTTGTGAGTTTGAGCTCCATGTTGGGTGTAGAGATTATTTTTATTTTTTTAAAGATTTTATTTATTCATGAGAGACACACAGAGAGAGGCAGAGACACAGGCAGAGGGAAAAGCAGGCTCCCCCAGGGGAGCCCGATGTAGGATTTGATCCCAAGAACCCGAGATCACTGAGCCACACAGGCATCCCAGTGTAGACATTACATTTAAAAAATATTTTTAAAATAAATTTTAAAAATCACGTTGTAAAACCCTTGACTCAGAGCTTGGTGTAGTGCAGGGCTCAAGAAAGAGGATCTCTGGCCAATGCCAATTATTCCCCCATTTGGAAGCCCATTTGGACAGGAGTGGGGATCCTCCATCCTGAGAGAGCCTTGAGTTTCCTTCTAGGTTTTCTGATGGGTGCAATCTCTTTCTCTCAAACCTCCCCACTACACTACACCTTCAAACAAGAATCACCTGGAAAACCACTGAAAACCACCTTAACTATCAATTTATTTTAAATTAATAGTTTTTAATGATACAGCTAACATATATTCATGGTTTAAAAAATCTTTACCAAAGGACATATAACCTCCCTCTTCCCCTTCCTCATCTTCCTTAAATAAGCTGTGGTTCCTTACCAAAAAATTTCCATGCATTCAGACTCATATATGTACTTATATGCTTTGTTTTCTTGCCAAGGCAAGATTGATATTTCATGACCCATGTTGTTCTGCATCTTCTATTTCTCACTTTACAATCTCTCTTGGAGATGTTTCTATATTATTATAACTAACTACATTTTTTTAAACTGCTGCTTACCATTTGCTATGTATGGTTGGAGTCTAGTTTATTTGGCCCTCTTGATATATATTTAGGTTGTTTCCAGGGTCTTTCTCCAGTCTCACCCTAATTAATGCTTCAATGAGTGCTCCAAAGTGAGCTTGTTGTGCCTCTGTGTGTATATCTGTCTAGGGTGAAACAATGGAATTATTAGGGCATGCCCTTTGTGGATTTTGATAGAAAGAGATGAATGAACTGCCTTCACAAAAGGTGCACTCAAGTATACCTACCTACCTGTTTCACCACATCTTCATTTAAACAGGAGATAAACAATTGTTTTAATTTTTGACAACCTGATAGGCAAAAATATCTTATTGTTGTTTAAATTTTTTTTAAAGATTACTAGTAACATTAAGCAACTTCCCCCGCTCCCTATGTGTTTTCACACCTTGGACTTCCTCTTTTGTGTACTGCCTTATTCATGTTTTGTCCAATTTTCAACTCAGCTGGGTTTGGGATTTCTTTCTATACTCTTAATCTATGTGATGAATGAATAAGTCATTTCTGCCAGTGCTGTTGATTGTTTTCTAGATCCATTTGTCTAGTCTCATATACAACTTCAAAATTTTGCAGTCATCAAATTAATTAACCTTGTCTTCTGAATTTTTTTGTTCTGTATTTTAAGATAGCTTTTTCTACCCCCAAGACAGATAGCTTTTCCTATATTTTCTTCTAATACTTTTACAGTAAAACAAAACAAAATAAAACATTTAACCTGGAATTGGTATTGGTGAATGGTCTGAGGTAGGGATACACCTCCCTCCCCCCCCCCCAGTAGATAGCAAATTTGGCAACTACTGAAATATGCTGACTATGATACAAATAGTCTGAAGAACAATTTAAAATTGCAGATTTCAGGGACCCAATCCCTTGACATTATGTTTAAAAAACATGGAGTCAATAAAGCTCAGGAGTGGCCCTGCTATTCTAATTTGCAGCTAGTCTTGACAATCCTTGACTGGGGTCCAGCGCCTTCCCTATTTTATAAGCAGGGAACTGAGGATGAGAAAGAGGCAGGGACTGCCCCAGGTGATTCTCTTCCCACCCCACCTGCCCAGGAAGCCCAGGGACCCAGGAGTTCTCTTTATTCAGTCTCCCCAGCCTTATACCCCAAGCCATGGCTGGAGGCTCAGCCTGCTGCAATTGTAACCCCTGGGGTCAACGTGACCTTGAGGTGCCAGGCACCTCAACTTGCCTGGAGGTTTGCACTCTTCAAGTCTGGAGAAATCACTCCTGTGCTGTACCGGGATGTGTCCATGGAGCTGGCAGAGTTCTTCCTGGAGGAGGTGACTCCAGCCCAGGGGGGCAGTTACCACTGCTGCTACCGGAGTCTTGGCTGGGACCTGGGCATCTGGTCCCACCCCAGTGATACACTGGAACTGCTGGTGACAGGTGAGGTCCTGGGGTGGGGCGCTGAGGGGAAAGAAGGGACTTTGGGGTGTGATGAGGGAGGGAGAAGGAGGGACTGAGAGATACAGGAGATACGGAAAAAGACATACAGAGACAGGCTTGTACAATGACCCAGAGCAAAAATTGCTACAAAAATTGCTAGCAAAAAAATGAGGGAAAGAGAACCAGAGAAATGGATGATTCTTTACTAGGGACGACTGTGCCTCCCAGGTGACCTTTGGCAATACCTGGAGACATTTCTGGTTGTCACTACATTTTTGGGCTATCCCTACTACCAGAATTGCTGCAAAACACCCAACAATGCACAGGACAACCTCCATCCTCACCCCATACAACAAAGAATTATCTGGATTTATCCAAAATGTGACGAGTACTGTGGTTAGGAAACCTTGGGAGAAACCCAGAAGCACCAGAAGAAACCATTCGGCAGACACTGCCTCGGACATCCAGGGTAGTGAAACACACCCCGCGGGGGAGATTAAAACAGGGACGTACAAAGAGAATTTCAGTGAACCACAGGCAGACAGACAAGGGGACATCCGGGGACACAGAGGCAGAGACTGCAAGAGAAAGGTGTGCTGGGGGATGAAGATACAGGGGGCGCCACCGACTAGGATGCAAAGGACACAGAAGCAGAAATAACGAGACACAAACTGATGTTGGGAAGGAGGGAGAGAAATGCAGAGTGAGGTAGGGCAGGGGCGTCGGTGAGCGGGGGAGAGGGAACGAGAGCAGGAGGCGGAGGCAGCGGGAGAACGGGGCCAGGCCCGGGGGCACAGGGCCGGGGGAGCGGGAGGAGGGGCGCAGGGCCGGGGGGCCAGGCCCGCGCCAGCGCTCGCCCCCGCCCGTGCCCCTCGCAGACCAGCTGCCGCGCCCATCGCTCGTGGCGCTGCCCGGGCCGGTGGTGGCGCCCGATGCCAACGTGAGCCTGCGCTGCGCCGGCCGCCTGCGGGGCATGAGCTTCGCGCTGTACCGCGTGGGGGTGGCGGCGCCGCTGCAGTACCGCGACTCGGCGGAGCCCTGGGCCGACTTCCCGCTGCCCGGAGCCCGCGCGCCGGGCACCTACAGCTGCTACTACCACACGCCGTCCTCCCCGTACGTGCTGTCGCTGCGCAGCGAGCCGCTGGTCATCAGCGCTGACGGTAAGGGCCGGGCGCCCGGCCGCAGCCCCTGCTCCCTGGCGGGGGAGTCGGGCCTCCGGTGCCTCCCTGCTCCCCAGTCTAGGGACCCGGGCCCCCAGCCTCTCCCTACTCCCCCTGCCAGGAGTCCGGGCCCCCTGTTCCTCCCTACTCCCCAGCCCAGGGATCCAGCCCCGCCCCCTTGCCCCTTACTCCCCAGCCAGGGGATCCAGGCCTCGGGTTCCTCCCTGCTCCCCAACCCTGGGGTCTGGGACCTGGTTCCTCCCTGCTCCCTATCCCAGGTGTCTGGGTTCCCAGCCTCTCCCTGCTCCCCAGCCCAAGGATCCAGGCCCCTGATTCCTCCCTGCTCCCCAGTCTAGGGGTCATGACTCTACCCCCTGCTCCCAGACCCGGGAGTCCAGGACCCCTGCTCCCACTGACCCATCTCAACTTTGAGACTGGGAGCTGTGTCCCCACTATCACCCTGTAGGTTCAAGACCCGGATGGCAGGCCCAGACTCTGGGTTCTGGAGCTGAAGGCCTCTCTTGCTGTCCCACAGGCTCAGGCTCCTTGGACTACACTCAGAGCAACCTCGTCCGCCTGGGGTTGGCTGGCCTGGTCCTCATCTCCCTGGGCACACTGGTTGTTTTTGACTGGCACAGCCAGAGTCGCACCCAGGCAGCGTCAGGCCCTGAGCCCCAGAGGACTGGATACAGATGCCTCCAAGTGTGAGAACACTTCCCAGAGATGGGGAGAAGAAATAGGTTTCCTGGGGTTGGACAGGCCCTTTCAAGAGCCCCTCAGTCCTCCTGGCTGAGCTCAGCTTCTGAGTCACAATAAACTTCCTACTGTGTTCTCTAGCTCCCTTCTGGGTCATTCCTCTAGTAGATCAGTGGAAGGCTCTATCTATGGTTCTGTCTTCCTAGTCACGAGGCCTGGGTTTGAGTCCCAGTGCTGCTGCTCACTCACTGGGATATTAGGAAAGCGACCTCTCCCAAGTCTAAATTACCCTAACTGTAAAATGGGCTCAGTGATAATACCCACTTCGTAGTCTTGTTGTAGGATTAAGTGGGCAATACACACAAAGCCCTTAAAAGTGACTGGCCTATAGTAAACACTCAGTAAATGTTAGCTCTTACATAACTGTAGTTTCTACCAGATGCACAGGACTGGAATGAAGGTATAGGGTTTGTTTGTTTTCCATTGTGCATGTTCCAGCTGAACTTTTAAGCAATTCACTACCATTTCCTTCATGACATCATTCTTGGTCGCCAAGCAAACCTCTTCTGAACACCTCCTCAGACCTTCACCAAAGTCTAGACCAAGATCAGACAAGGTAGAACTTTTTCCCTATACAGCTTCGTTTGTGTGCAGTGCAGGTTGTTTTCTTGAGTCATTGTTATGATTAAGCAGAGTCTGTTGCCAAGGCTACAGCAAGAGCAGTGTGCACACAAGAGCTTTGACCTAGACATTTATACGTTGCACCTGCCCGCTTCCCACCGACTCTTGGCTGCTTTCACCATTGTGGGATTTGTGTGTGTGTGTGTGTGTGTGTGTGTGTGTGTGTTTTAAGATTTTATTTATTTATTCATGAGAGACACACAGAGAGAGGCAGAGACAGAGGCAGAGGGAGAAACAGGCTCCCTGTGGGAAGCCTGATGCAGGACTCAATCCCAGGACCTTAGGATCAGGACCCAAGCTGAAGGCAGACAGTCAACCACTGAGCCACCCAGGCACCTGCATTATGCCTGATTTTGATGGAGCATACATCCTCTTCTTTTGTTACTAAATTTTCCACCTTCCCCTCCTCTCCCCACTTTATCAAGGAGAGGATAAATTCCATTTTTTGGACAGCCCCAGCTCCATCACTCACTAGCGGGATAGCCTTGAGCAATCTCTAGAGTCTCTTGAATTGTCGTCTGTGAAAGAGGAAACTAAAAATATCTACCCTCTTGGTTCAAGAGAACCAAACAACTTGTCCCCAACATGTGGAGAGAGATCATAAAAGCGCAGATCAACTGTTTTAACCTATTCACTCCGTTTTGGGGAGACATTGAGTAGGAAGCAAAGCTTACATCACAGCCCTGTATATGCATCCACTTACATCTATAAACTAGAATTCAAGTTCTATGAAGCAATATCTACTTCCACTATTTTATTATAATCTGTTTTATTTAAAATGCTGATCATGACTCCTTTCATTGTCATTCACAACAGCTCACATGCCTAACATGCACGGTGAAACATGACTTTAAGAAGTTGAGCAATATTTGTTCTTCGGTTACAGAAACAGATTTCTGGACTTGTATAAAGACCAGTAAATTCAAAATATGGATAAAGAGTGTAAAATGATGCTATTTCAACACCCAGTTCTCCTAGTAGTTGAAATTTGGGTACTGAAATTCAGCAGCACTGAAATTTGGGAATCAAAGTAGCCACCTGGGTTCATTGACTTTTGCTGAAGAGACAAGAGGAGGGACTTCCAAGCAGGACTTTCTGGGTTTGCACTTAGTACCAATGGGGACTCCTGTGGAGCATGTCCTGGGCAATCTCTCTGTGAACTGTGTGCGGATATCAGAAGTCAAGGGAGAAGCAGAGAACCAGGTTCACATGAAGGAACCAGATGTGGATGGGGCTGCAAAGTCATCAAATCCAATCTTCTTATTTTATGGATGGGAAAATGGTGGAATGGAAGGGTGGCATGGAGCTCCCCTAGTCATACAGGAAGTCAGTGTCACATCAGGAGGCTCCGTCTATTCATTCATTAGTTCCTTTACTATTCAACCACTTATCCCAGTCATTCATTGTCATCCATCCTTTTGTTCAATGATTCTCATCCTAGTTTCTTTCTATCCATCCACCCATCCCCTTTCCTCTTGCTCTTATTTATTTTTCTTTCTTGCTCTTATTTAAATATCTATCCTTTCTTTTGCCCTTATACCCATCATTCATTCATTCTCACATCCATTCACCCATTCCTCCCTTTACTAATCAGTTAATTTATTAATCCACTCATCTATTTATTATACTTATTCAGTATCCATCAACCAACCTATGCATTTACTTATCCAAAAACTTGAAGGTCTCTTCTTCAGTAAGTGGGGAGAGGGGGAAGGGACATTGGAAAATTTAATAACAACAGAAGAGGATGTGTGCTCTACCAAAATGAGACATAAATCAGGAATGGAACACATGAGTTTTGAGTGGTTAGAAGTGCTCTGAGGCGGAAAATGTGTGTACAAGAATGAGAAAGGAATAAAGGTTAGCCAGATGAAAACTAGAACGTTATTGATAAATAATATTATAAATAGACTATTATTATTTTTACTTTTAAATATTTACTTATTGGGGCACCTGGGTGGCTCAGTGGTTGAGCATCTGCCTTCTGCTCAGGTCATGATCCCACGCTCTGGGATCAAGTCTGCATCTGGCTCCCTGTGGGGAGCCTGCTTCTCCCTCTGCCTGTGTCTCTGCCTCTCTCTCTGTCTCTCATGAGTAAACAAAATCTTTTAAAAGAAAAAAATATTTATTTATTTATTTATTTATTTATTTATTTATTTATTTAGAAAGCATGTGTGAGCAGGGTGAGGAGCACAGGGAGAGGGAGAGAGGATTCTCAAGCAGACTCCTCGCTAAGCGCAGAGCCCAACACGGGCCTGGATCTCGGGTCCTTGAAACCACGACCTGAGCAGAAACCATGAGTTGGCCACCCAACCAACTGAGCCACCCAGGTGCTCCTGTCACTTCCACTTTTGAATGAGGAAGAGAAAGGGGAACATTATTACATTTAACCATTGCAAAGCAATTCACCATTCCTGAGGCAGTGGTTCCTTTTTCTTTTTTTTTTTAAGATTTATTTATTTATCTTAGAAGGGGGAATGGGCACAGAGGGAGGGGGAGAGCATCTCAAGCAGCCTCCATGCTGAGTGCAGAGCCCAATGAGGGGCTTGATCCCATGACCCTGAGATCATGACCTGAGCAGAAACCAAGAGTCAGACGCTCAACCGACGACACCCTTAGGGGCCCCCAGGTTCCTTTTCTTTGTCACCCACAAATGCTCACAAGGTGTTTGAAGTGAGATTGTGACACATCTACTACCAGCTCTACCAGCTCTCCTTTTCTATCTGCCCTTGCCTGGGTCTGCACTCATCCTTCTGGTCTCAGGTTAGATGCTGTTTCCCCTGCAAGCTTGCCTGGCCCACCTGTGTTCCCATAGTTCCCTGAGTATTTACACTGTATTCTGATTCTCTCCCCGCCACCCATTAGACCACAAGCTCCTCCCAAGAGGGACCAGGCCATTTCATTTCTGTGTCTCCAGAGCCTGGCATAGGTCTTAGGAAATGTGCACAGTGTGTCTGGATGAGGCTCAGCACCCTGACAATGATCTAAGTGAGTTCCGTACTTTTTTTTGCCTTTGTGCAGTGGGCAGAATGATGCAAAACTGCTCCCCGCCGCCCCTGCCAACAAGTGACGTCCTGATTCCTGGAACCTGTGAAAATGTTGTGCATGGCCAAAGGGACTTCCTAGGTGTGATTAAATTAAGCATCGTGAGGTGGGGAGGTTATGCAGGATTATTTAGGTAGGTTCCATGTAGTCACAAGGGTCCTTATTTATAAGAAGGAAGAGGTCAGAGTCAGAGACGGGAATGTAGAGACAGAAGCACAGGCCAGTGTGATGCAGGGTCATGAGCCAAGGAATACAGGCTCCTCTAAAGCTGGAAAAGTCAAGGAATTGGATTCTCCCCTAGAGCCTCCAGAAGGAATGCAGACTCTTAACCCATTTTGGACTTCTGACCTCCAGAACAGAGAGAGAAAACATTTTTGTTCAGGCTACTAGTTTGTGACAATTTGTCACAACAGCAATAGCAAAACTAATACTCTTAGCTTCAATGAGACCTCTTTCCTTTTCCCACAAACCCAGTTATGTTCACCCTTAGGACTTCCACTTCGGTCCCCAATCTTGCTTCCCCCAGGTCCCCATTCATCCACTTGGCACACATTTTTTCAATGCCCTCCACATTGGGGGGCACTGTGCTGGGTGCTGGGGACAAGCGGGGAATGACAGCAGGCATAAACTCTACTCTCATGATGCTCACTGAGAAAAGCATTAACCAAATTGCTACTCACTGTATTGATGAGGGAGCACTTTGAGCTGCTGTAAAAAAAAGAGAAGGAAAAAAAAAACCTATATGATTTTATGTCTCTTTCACTTCACAGAATATAGTTGAAACAGTCTGGGACTGTTTACCAACAGCTTTGCTCTTGTCAACATGCAGCTTTCCGGTGTGGTTCTGAGGCAGCATGAAAGGAGGAAGAGAGAAAGACAGAGACAGAGAGAAACAATCATTTTTAAAGAATAAGACCCAGGATTTGAACATGTCTCCTCTACTCTCATTCCAGAACTCAGTTCTATGGCCAGGTCTAGCTGCAAAAGTGGCTCGGCTCTCACATGTGACCTTCTGAAAATGGGCAGGTGGGTTCTATTACTTAAAGGAAGAAGGGAAATTTGGATGCTAGGAAACCATTAGCCATCTTCATCAGGACCACTATAGCAAAACAGAAGAGAGAGATTTGGTCTAATCTTGGAGCTCTCTGATGGCTTACTGAAGTGAAGAGGGGAGATCTGAAAGGTGAGCAGATTTTAACAAGGTAAAGGTGCTGGAAGGGTGTCCTAAGCAGAGGGAAGAGCATGTGCAAAGCTCCCCTCCCCCACCCCCACTCAATGCCGGGTGGAGGGCACTGGGATTGAGAGATGCAAAATTGTGTGCTCCTGCCACCTTGTGGTCACACCTTTTTCCTGACAATCCCTGAACTCCCTAACAGGCACGTCATAGGACTGTTAGCCATCCTT